CCGTTTTTTAAAGATAAATTAAATATATGGCAAAGAGGTTTAACTAAAAAATAAATTGATTGTTTTATAACTTTTGGGCTAAATTCGTCGAGTCCCTGTGCTTTATTAGATTTAAAGCCATTAACAATGTCTATAATTTCAGTGTCCGATACTGGAAGCATAAACAATGAATTCAGGGTAGGTTGAGGTAAATATTTATTAAATTCGGGTCGGTTTGTCGGCATTTTATTAGAAAGGGTTGGGCCTATTTCAACAAAAAACTTATTAAACGCATTTGCGATTTCAGTTGAATCTTTCATAGGTTCACCGTTATCATCTATTATTACATCAGTGTTTGTATTCGAAGACCTTTTCATCAATGTATTAATTATACGCCATGTCCCTTTGATATCGAGCTTACACTGAAGAAATCTGTTTAAATAATAATCAATTTTAACACGTTTTAAGACGGAATTTAAAGTGTTACGAAATTCACTGTACTTAATTTTGTTTCGTTCGGTTGGATTACGTAAATATATTGCATACAATTTTTGTTTATATTTAATAGATTCAAAATTGAACAAATCAGAAACAAGCAGACAGAATTACATAAAACAAAAATTAGCAAAATTAAATCAAAACGAGAACACAAAAGGCGTAAAACAAGAAAAACATGAAACAAAGAAACACACAAAAAACAAAAAAAAAGAAGACCGACGAAGAGGAAAACCTGAAACACTGAGAGAGCCATTGGTCAAGGATGGAAATCATATAGTGAATTACCATTCTTTAAACATGCAACTACACACAATTGAGAAGCAAGTAAAATATTCTTTAGCTCTTTTTATGTACAGAACATGGTTCATCAGATTGATCTAGTTTTAGCATCCGAGATTCTTTTAAAGGAAATCGTGACAAGGCAAACAAACACAACCTTGAAAAAATCATCTAAAACAGTTGGTAGGTATTATTATACATATTACTATCATTTATTATTGCTATTATCATTATAATTATTATTATATAATTAAAAATCATTTATTAATATCATTGTCATTTGTTATTATTAATAATAATATAGGCCTATTATTAAGCATTATTATTATTATTATTATTATTATTATTATTATTATTACTATGTCTATTAAATTCTTGTTAATAACATGAAACATTTCTTTATTTTTCTTTACTAAACAGCATCTAACATCGAACCAGTGGAGAATGCAATTTGGTCTTTCCATTTTCAGGCCAAAGAAAAGAAGTTGGACTCATCGAGGGACAATTCCAAAAAAGCTAAAAATAATGCCAAAGGATTTGTGAGAGTAGATCCAAGCTCGGCAAAAAATGTTCCAGGTAAAAATATATGAACTTCAGCAACTTTAGGAGGTTTACATTGTATTCAATATACCGGTTTTCGCTTAATTGTTATCAGTATGTTTCGTTTGTCTTAAACAAGTTTTTTTTCCGATATATTTCGTTTGGCTTAGAAAGTGCAGCGATTATCGTAACATATTATGACAAAGTACTCTTTGAAGAAAGTGAAGGAGATGAGAAATCGGATGTAACTTTCCAACCAGAAGCGTAAGTCCCAATTTATATTGATAATAATGGCCTCTCTCTATCATATACAGTACTCCTATTCGAACAATGTTACCGTCTATAGAACCCCT